ATTTTAGTTTTCTTTAGCTGAATTACTTAAAACGTAGCTGAATTGTGAACTTATCGAGGAAGATGTTAGAAAATTATTATATTTATTATAAAACGCAATATTTCTTTAGCTGAATTGCATAAAACTTAGCTGAATTGGCAAAATATTGAGAAAAATGTTAGAATTTTAGGAAATGTATATTAAATCGTTCTTTTCAGCTTGCTGAATTAACTTAAACCTTAGCTGAATTAATGAAATTTCAAAGAAAATATTAAGAAATTATAAAATATTTAATAAAACGTAATTTTTATTTAGCTGAATTGTTTAAAACTTAGCTGAATAGGTAAAATATTGGAAAATATAGTAAAATTATACGAGAATAATACTAAATCATTATTTCCAGCTTGCTGAATTACCTAAAACTTTAGCTGAATTGTAGAAATATGAAAGCAAATGTGAAAAAATTAAAAAATTTGTATTAAAATGTAATTTTTCTTTAGCTGAATTGCTTAAAACCTAGCTGAATACTTCAAATATTTAGACATATAGTAAAAGATTAGTAAATTTATATTAAATCATTGTTTAAAGCTTGCTGAATTACCTAAAACATTAGCTGAATTGTAGAAATATAGAAGGAAATGTGAAAAAACTAACAAATTTGTAATAAAACGTAATTTTTCTTTAGCTGAATTGCTTAAAATTTAGCTGAATTGTCAAAATATTGCGGAAAATGTTAGAATTTAATGAAACTTAGTTAGATCCTTATTTTAAGCTTGCTGAATTACCAAAAACTTTAACTGAATTATAGAAATATGGAAGATAATGTTAAAAAAATAACAAATTTGTAATAAAACGTAATTTTCTTGAGCTGAATTGCTTAAAACTTAGCTGAATTGCTAAAATAATAATCAAGATGTTACGATTTAAGGAAACATATATGAAGATGTTTATTTGAAACTTGCTGAATTACCAAAATCTTATCTGAATTGTGAAAAATTCGAATAAAATTTGAAAAATTATGAAATTTGTAATAAAACGTACATTTTCTTCAGCTGAATTGCTTAAAATTTAGCTGAATACGTAAAATATTAAGATATGTATATGTATAGTAAAATTATAGTAAATGTTTATTAAATAATTGTTTTAAGCTTGCTGAATTACCTTAAACGTTTGCTGAATTAAAAAAATCTTCCAAAAAGGGTTAAAATATTAAAATATTTTGAATAATTTGATAATAAAACTTTTTTTGAGTTGCAGTATCTTTGACACATGTTTGAAATTACTTCTCATTTCGACCTCGTTTAAAGTCTCATCTAAAATTGTAATTTCAATTCTTTTAACAACAACATACAAACATTGTTCATTTTTTTCAAACAATATTTTCTTCTATATTGTATAAACTACTATCGTGTTAAACAATTTTTTTTTAGTTTTCATCAAAAATAAAGCAACAAATAAAAAACTATGTAAGTAGAAAAATATAAATTGATAATAGTTATAGGAGGCCCAAAAAACCAGTTGGTTTATGCAGCCATGCATTACAATGCACATCCACATGCATTACACAGCGTCGACAGCCAACAATAACAACAACAGTATACATACAAAGGTATCCATCATATAGATGAATTGCAACCAATAACTTATTTTATTTTGTTGAACAGACAGCTCCAACAACTCAACTCTCAATACATTTTTGTTTGTAGAACATTATTGTACACATATTTCTGTTTTTTTTCTGTTTGTCTGGCAAAATAACAACAATGAATAACATTATTATGTAGAAACAACAAAAAAATTAGAAAAAAATTTATTTAAGAATGAATTTTAATTCCACAGCATTCCTTGAAACAACTTAAACATAAAGTTTTCATAACAAAGTTTAATAAAATGCAAAGAGAGCTAGAGTGAGAGAGAGAAAGAGTGTTACCAACAGGGAAGAGTTAGTTAGGAAGAGCTAAATTATAAAGTGAAACAATGATGACAACTTTAAAAAAAACTTATATGTATTATATACAACAAAGAGAAAAAGTTAAAAAGATAAAATTAATTAAATGTTAAGGGAAATGTTAAAATTATAGAAATTTTATATTAACTCATTGTTTAAAGCTAGCTGAATTACCTAGAAGGTAGCTGAATTACCTAAAACATAGCTGAATTGTATAAATATACAAGAAAGTGGAAAATTATTCGATAATTTTTTAATAAATCTCTCTTTTTGATTAGCTGAATGACTTAAAACTTAGCTGAATTGGTGAAATATTGAGAGAAATGTAAAAATTATAACAAAAAAAATTTTAAGCTAGCTGAATTACCAAGAACTTTGCTGAATTGTAAAAATATAAAGAAAAATAGTACAAAATTGTTTTTTTTTTTTTTTTTTTTTTTTTTTTTTAATAAATACCTATTTTTCTTCAGCTGAATTACTTAAAACTTAGCTGAATTAGTAAAATATTAAGGGAAATGTTAAATATTATAGGAAATTTATAATAAATCATTCTTTTATGCTAGCTGAATTACTTAAAACTTAGCTGTATTAGTAAAATATTAGGTGAAAAGGTTAAAATTATAGGAAATTTATATTAAAACATCATTTTAAGCTAGCTGAATTAACTAAAACTTAGCTGAATTGTAAAAATATACAAGAAAGTGGTAAAATATTCGAAAATTTTATAATATATCGTTCCTTTTCTTTAGCTGAATTACTTAAAACTTAGCTGAATAGGTGAAATATTAAGGGAAATGTTAAAATTATAGGGAATTTATATGAAATAATTGTTTAAAGCTAGCTAAATTACTTAAAACTTAGCTGAATTACCTAAAACTTAGCTGAATTGTATAAATATACAAGCAAGTGGTAAAATATTCGAAAATTTTGTAATAAGTCGCTCTTTTTGATTAGATGAATTGCATTAAACTTAGCTAAATTGGTGAAATATTTAGGATAGTGTTCAAATTATAGATTACCTCATATTTTAACTTGCGGAATTGAGGAAATCATAACCGAATTTATAAATTAATCAAGAAAATGTTAAAAAACTTTAAAATCTGCAAGAAAATATAAATATCTTGCTGAATTACTAAAAATTTAGCTGAATTGTTGAAATATTAAGAGAAATTCATGAAAAAAAAATATGGTTTTACAGCAAAAACTTAGCTGAATTAAAAAATAAAGTGACGAGTTGTTGAGATATTGTAATATTTTCAACGAATTGAGAAAATTTGACATTTTTCTTTGCTGAATTGTATAAAACTTAGCTGAATTGAGAATAAATTAAAGAAAATTTGTAATTTTGTAATACATCATTATATTTCTTTAGCTGAATTACTAAAAACTTAGCTAAATTATAAAATTTTTGAAGGAAATGTTAAAAATGATTTAAAATTTTTACATTTTGTTTTGCTGAATTAGTTAAAACTTAGCTGAATTGTTGAAATATTAAGAAATATGTTAAAAATTATTGAAAATGTTCACTAATTCATTGTTTTTATATTGCTGAATTAGCTAAAACTTAGCGAAATTGCATAAAATTTTGCTGAATTGAGTAAAAGTTGAAGAAAATGTGGAGATTTGTAATAAATCATTATTTTCTTTTAGCTGAATTATTTTTAAGTTAGCTGAATTGAGGAAAAATTAAAGAAAATTTGCAGTATTGTAATAAATCATTATTTTTCTTTAGCTGAATTGAAGAAAAATTAGCTGAATTTTGAAATATTAAGGAAAATGTTGAAAACTATTGAAAATATTATCTAATTCAGAGTTTCGGTTTTGCTGAATTAGTTAAAACTTAGCTGAATTGCATAAAACTTAGCTGAATTAAGGAAAATTTAAAGAAACTATGCAGATTTGTATTAAATCATTATTTTTCTTTAGCTGAATTGAAGAAAACTCAGCTGAATTGTTGAAATTTTGAAGGAATTGTTGAAAATTATTGAATATATTTAATACTTCAGAGTTTTGGCCTTGCTGAATTAGTTAAAACTTAGCTGAATTAAGGAAAATTTAATGTAAATATGCAGGTTTATATAAAATCATTATTTTTCTTTAGCTGAATTGAAGAAAACTTATCTGAATTGTTGAAATTTTGAAGGAATTGTTAAAAATTATTGAAAATATTAAGTAATTCAGAGTTTTGGATTTGCTGAATTAGCTAAAACTTAGCTGAATTACATAAAACTTAGCTTAATTACATAAAACTTAGCTGAATTGCATAAAACTTAGCTGAATTGCATAAAACTTAGCTGAATTGAGGAAAATTTAAAGATAATATGCAGATTTGTATTAAATCATTATTTTTCTTTAGCTGAATAGTGAAAAACTTAGCTGAATTATGAAAATATTAAAAGAAATGTTAAAAATTATTTAAAATTAGTATTTTAACATTGTTTTCACCTTGCTGAATTAGCTGAATTTGAGCTGAATTGCATAGTATTTAAGAGAATTGAGGAAAACTTGAAGAAAATGGGCAGCTTTGTAATAAACTATTATATATCTTTAGCTGAATTGTCGAAATTTTTGTATACTTTAAAACAGCTGTTTGGTTACTGCAATTGGCAACACTTCTTAGAGAGTTTTCGTTCTCTTGCTTTTTGTACAGTTCTCTTTGGATGGGAACACTTTTGTGTATCATTTGCTGGTTGATGGATACTCCAAGTTTGTTTGTTTTATATGCGTTTGCTATACACATGCTGTTGTTATCGAGGGGAGACCCTATTGTTTACACTAACAAAAACCATAGACACTTACACACACACACACAGTGTTTTTTCGCCTGAAAAGTTTAAGCAGAAACTAAGGTTTTTAGTTTACATTTAGCTGCCGGCCCAAACAGTATAAACGGTTGGAAAATAACGTGTGTATAAGAAAAAGAGAAAAATTACGTTAATAAAACGAATGCGAATTTTTTTGAAAAAAATTTGTTTTGTTTTTCTCTAAAAACAAAACAAACACGCGTTTAATAATAATTTTTTGGTATATTTTCTGTGGTTTTATTTTGGTGTGTTGTATGTAGAGAAATTTTTGAAAAGAAAAAAATTATATTAAAAATTTTTAAAAATAGATCACTGATCTAATAAGAATATATGGTGAATTATGAGAAAAAAAAAGAATATGAGAAAAAAATTTTAATAATAAATATGATAAAAAAAGAAAATTTAAAAATTGTTTATAAAAAACATGAGATTTACGTGTTTAATAGAAAAAAAGAAAGAAATAATAAAAAATTAATATAAAAAAAATTTAAAAAAAAATATTTAAATGTAGGCGTTGAAACGAGTAGTTATTGTTAATAGAAAGAATATTGAAATCGTTTGTAATAATAAAGAAAAAACAACAAATTGTTTACTTGATTTAACAATATAAAACGCAAAAGAACAACACTGTATTGTTACAATAATAATAATAATAATAAACGGTATTTTTACGCCAACACAAGAATAACAAAAAAACATTTATTACAAAAGTAAACAAGAAGAAAATTAAAAAAAAACAATGATTTACCCATAACAAACAATTTTAACTGTCAAATAAACTTCAAATCCAAAGACACTATTTTATTTGTCAATTTTCAAAACAAAACAAACAATAACAACAATATCCCGGAAATTGCCAAATTGAAAAAAAAACTTAAATTTTCTTTTTATTAAAACTTTATACAACGGAAATTAAAGTTTAAAAATATAAAAAATTTAATTTAAACTTTAATTTCTTTTAAATTCTATTAAATTTGAAGTTTTAGTTTAAATGTGTTTCCCTCCACTTTAAATTGGCTGCTTTTTAAAGTTTTATCTTTTAAAGTCGGTCATTTAACGGTTTTTATTGTTTTTTTATTTTTTTGTATTTTTTTGTTTCTTTTGTTTGTATTTTTCTTTAAATTCTTATTAATTCTCTAATACTTTTGTTTAATTCATTAGTTTTTTTTTTATACCAAATTGTTTTTTAACAAAAAAATTACTATTCCAAAAATATTAAACCGTAAATTTATCATGTCTTAAGCTGTTTATTTATACAATTTTTTTTTATAAAAAAGTGTGCCAATTTGTATAACTTTTTAAAAGTTTTAATATCCCAAATTATAACAAAAAGTAAGGTGCTAAATTAAGTGCTGCCTTTTTTTGGTTTAAATATTAGAAAAATTGTTGGATTATTTAACAAATAAAAATTGTAATAATTGGTAAGTTTTAAGACAAATTTTTTATAATTTGAAAACACCCAAGTTGATTTTTTGCAAAATGTTTAAAATAATAATAATTAAAACTAAAGATTAGTATTCTGATCTTGTGAAAGTTTTGAAAATATGCAATACATTTCCTTCAAATATCTATTTATTCAGAAGATAGATCATAAAGATTCTCTCTAGCCTATCCTCTAAGTTTTTCCTTAACTTAACTTAAAGTTCAAAAAAACTGAGTAAACCTCTCCGAGGTTCTGTATCAGTTCAAGATATCTTAATATGATTCTGAAATCTTAAGTTTTATTTGAATTTTCTTCTTCTTTAGAGATCTTCTGCTAGAACTCTCACGTGTTATCGCTACACATTTTGGCAAAATAGTTAGTTAGTTAGTTAGTTAGTTAGTTAGTTTGTTTGTTTGTTAGTTCTTTTGAAAGTAGGATGTATATACATCAAATCCGAAGAAATAAACATAAGCCTATATAGGGCCTGTTGTGTACTCCTTTACCAGTGCCTCAGGTGAGATTCCAGCTCTCGAGCTCACCACCTCCGGTCTACCAGTCTAGAACACTAACCACTTACCTACCGGAGGCCAGAATAGATCTAAGAGGAACACAAAAGTGTATCGACTAAGTTAAAGGCTTCTTTCTGGTTTATCGAATCAAATTTGTTAGAAGTATCCGACGGTTACAAATCTCCTTGAACTAAAACAAAGCTATAACTCAGGACAACAAAATTTGATATTGCTGAAGAATTGATCTAGGGTTTCTCCACATGTGTATCGTTATAACATAGCAAACTTTCGGCTTTATAAAATTTGTTATCTTACGTCTGAAAGATCGATCAATTGACTTCAAAATAACTATATCTTGAAGCCTTCTTAAGATTAGCTTTGAGTAATCCAACCAAAAGCAGCAAGTACTTTAAGCATTTTACAAAAATTTCTTTGGCATGGCAAATGTTCGATTTGTAATTGGATCCAATATCTGTTTAGGCCTCTACAATTCTCTATTGAGGATACTAAAAGCTTACTACATCGTTCAAGTACGGCTGCAGAAGTCAGACATGAATAATTCAATTAGAACTTTAGATGTCTTATCAGAATAATGAGAGAGAAAGATATATGAAGCGAAGTTCTAATTGAATTCTTGAGCTTGGAGACTGCTAGTTTTGGAAGAAAATTTGCTGGGGACTAGTGAAAGTAAATATCTGGGATATCCAATAGAGTCTCTGATGATGCTTACTAGACCATCTATGTATATACGTCTGTAAGAGTATTCAGGTTAGCTTGGATCTAGTAGATTTGGATTACACTTTTGGATTCGAGGGTTCTATTGAGTTTCTTAAATGCTTTAAATTCCGAATATTAAACATTTCCAGTACTTTTATCTAATCCCAGATCAATATAGAATTCTGCCTTTCGATTACATTCCCCATTTCAGTTTCACAATAATCGAAAAGAATGGAATAGTAACAAAACTGAAATGAAAGTGAACATATGTATGAATATAACTTTTACTTGATCAAAGTGATGATTCAATTGTGAATTTCCTTTTATCGAGTTTTGCACCTTCTATTAGACAGAATGAGCCTTAGACTCTACGACAAGAAGTGATTCGCAAATTCGCATGAGGAATGATATCTTGCTGATTTACCACAGTTTGATGCTGTTGCAATCCCCGGGTAAAGATGCGCCTTAAAATTTGGGGAGTTTTATAAACTCAAGTCTGATTTAGTTCCTTATTCCATAGAACTTTTCCTATGCTGCTACACTGCAACCACATTATCCCACCTCGAGGATCATGTGATAAACTTCGAAGTTTGAACTATCAAATATACCTTTATGTGCTGTTGTGAATTAGCGACACCTGTTGAGACTGCGATGAATGTATATTTTCGGAGAATATACTGGCGAAGACTTTGTTCGTGGCATAAAAGATCGATAAGTCTGCACGACTTGTCCTCTACTACTTATTATTGAGGTCCGTTGGAGGATCACGTGTTTGGTTAAAAGTTTGATACTAGAGTAGATTTCGAAGTTCTAGCCTCTTAGGAATCCGCAAAATTTACAACTGTTTGTATTCTGTTCTGGAAATAACTTTGTTCATGGCTTCAGCGTTCAGTTACTGCTTCCAAACAGGTAGCATGAACAATCTCTAAGTCTGCAGGACTTATGCGGTAATACTTATTAGTGACGAGCTTTCGAGCATCATTTGTTTGTCTAAATGTCTCAATAGAATGTTGGGAAGCAGCAAAACGAGTTCTTTAAACTGCAACGATTGATTGGTTTCGGTGCTAGGAAAGACTTTGTTCGTGGCTTGAACGATCGGTTCCTACTTTTAAACAGGTGTTTGTTCGTGACATGAACAATCTATAAGTCAGCAGAACTTGAGCGATAGTGCTTATTAATGACGTCCTTTCCAAGAGCACTTGGTTGGTTGGAAGTTTGATGCCAGTATTAGACTTTGAAGTTCAAACCTTCCTCTATCGAAAGTAGGGAATCAGCAAAAGGAGTTTTTTAAATTTAGTGTGTGATTTCTGTTCAGTGAAGAAGTTTGTTCATGATTTCAATGATCGGCGTCTGCTTCCAAACTTGGTTGTCTAAATGATTGATGTTAGTGGCAGACTTCGTAGTTCAAACCTTGAAATATGTCTCTATAGAATGTTGGGAATCAGCAAAACCAGTTCTTTAAACTGCCACGATTGATTGGTTTCAATGCTGCGAAGGACTTTGTTCCTGTCTTCAGAGATCAGTTCCTGTTTCCAAACAGATGTTTGTTCTTGGCATTGTCGTGATTAGTAACGCCCTTTCCAAGAGTACTGTTGTTTAAAAGTTTGACTACGAAGTTCAAACCTTCCTCTATATAGTGTTGGGAATCAGCAAAACAAGTTCTTTAAACTGGTTTTGCAGATTGATTCATTAGTTGGTTTCGGTGCTAAGAAAGACTTTCGTTCATGGCTTAAGCGATCGATGTCTGCTTCTAATGAGAGTTAAGGATTGAAACTGGTGAGGCTCACAACCTAAAATTGACTTACAAAAGAAACAAGTGCATGTTTGTGGTCCTTCAAATCATTCCGCTATTGTTAGAAAAGCACTAGTTTGTCAACATTGCTTTCTCTGTGCTTTAACAGTTTCAACATCTGGCAACTTAGGAATTAAAGTATGCCACTTTTAATCTAAAAACACAGGGTTGATTTTGGTATAAAGATTTCATTCATATTCAAGTTAAAATTAACATATTACGATGCAATTATTATTACTCACACTGTCATTTTCATATTTTTTTTTCAAACAGCGCCATATTTTTTATTTAAGTAATTACTCCTCTTTATGTATTAAAATCACGCTATACTAGTTTTTTTAGGATTTACATGTCAACAAGTTTTACATATGTATTTTTTTACCATTTTGTACTTGTTGTACTTTTTTTGTTATTACTTTGCTGTAGTGTCAACTAAGTTAAAATGACTTTTAGTATTTAAACTAAAACTTAATTTAATTAACACAAATTATAAATGTTAATAAAAAATCACACCTTAAAATTAACAATATAAAGGTTTTATTTGTTATTCTTTAAATCTTCTTAATTTAAAGAAGATTTATAAGTATTTTTTTTTTGTAATTTTTGGGTTAAACCTTGAAAATTGTTTTAAATTTAGAAATATTTTTCTTAAAATTTTCCCATAAAAATATTTTGTAATAAATAGATGTGCGAATTTGAAAACAAATTTTTATATTTTACAGCAACAAATTTTCAAATATAAAAAATATAATAAAAACGAGTTCATGAAATTTATTTTAGCGATGTGCCAGACATTAATAATAGTTGGAAATTTATACAATTGTTTATAAAATTTTACAGTGAAAATGCTACTAAACGGATTTGTTTGAATTGTAGAAAAATTTTAATAAAAATGTCCCACTTTTAAAGTTGTTACTGTCTTATAGTTTAGCTATTTTCTCAGCTAGATGCAACATTTGTTTTAAAGATTTCTATATGAAAAACTTGTTTAGTATGTTAATTTTTATATACATATCTATATATTTTTCTTATATATACCAGATGTCTGTGAATATAAAATTTTGCTTTTCATAGTGTAAAAGCAAAAATTAGTAAAAATTTGTATTCAACTAAAAGAAATTATAAATAATATTATGTAAATTTTTGTGACAATTAAAATGTTTAAAATATTTATTTATTTATTAAAAGTTTAACATATTAAGTTTTATTTTAATTAGCGTTTTTTTTTTTTTTTTCTTCAAATGAAGGTTTATCTGTTTTAATTTTTTTATTTATTTATTAATTTTGTTAAAGCTTTAAAATGTTTAAATTGAATTAAATTTATGCCATAATTTAAATTATGTTAAATATCACAACAAGTCAATTAACTTTAAACAATTCAGATTGAGATCTTAATTGACACTACTGGCAGAAAATGACAGCGTAAAGTGATAAAGAGTTTATTGCTTTTTACTTTCTTTGCTAAAACAATAAAGTAAAAAAATTAATTGGCAATACTGTTTGAAGTGAGGCCAATCTTAACATGGAGATAACTGTGAGGAATACCTCTCGCTTAAAATATTCTTGAACAAGGCTTAATCAGCTGTTTTAATGAGTAAGCAGGTTATCTATGTACTGGTCCCTTTGTGATACCTGTAACGATCAAATTGTCAGCTTGTTAATATACTTCCACCTAATAACTCTTGATCCTATTGAAGAAGTTTATATCTTTGATATTCATCTGTCGGATAAATCCTTTAAGTCGTTTAGAAAATGACTGCTTAATGTGTTATATCAGTATTCAGCCAGGGCCGGTTATTAACTGAGAAAGTGAGTGACATATTCCTCTTTCCAACAGCTTTGAGATTGGATGTTTCAGTCTTCTCACTTGAAATCCAAAAGTTGGTTAGTTCATACAACAGTTGTATTCCTTAGCTGTGCTCTCTGAAGATATAACAAAACTAGTGGATCGTAGAATCTTAATTGTCAATCTCGTGAAGT